CAGCATTTAGAGCAGTGCATTGCCTGCCCAATAATTTGTGAAATACTGTATTATCTTATGATGGTAGTTGATTTATCATCAGTTAGAGATAGCATGTTTCAGAGAGAGTAGAGTTGTGTAAAGTCCTAAGGCAGGAAGGAATCTAGCATGTTCTTGGACAGATAGGGTGCTACATGGGAACTTTGTGAAAGGGAAAGTGACAGGAGATGAAGTTAGAGAGATCAGCAGGGGACAAGTGACTAGGGCCTTGTGGGCCAAGGCGACTTTTGGATTTTGGTCTAGGGGTAATAGGAAGCCATTGGAGGTTTTTAAGCACAGGAGTGACATGATCTGGTTTGTATTTTCAGAAAATCTTTTTGGCTGTAGAACAGAGAATAACTTACAGGAGAAGCAGTTTGGAAGCAAGCAGGTCAGATGGAAGATAATGTAATCCAGGAGAGATGGTACAGCTTGCATAGTGATTGCAACGAAGATGAAATGAAGCAGCTGGGTTTGGGATTCTCTTTGGAGACAGACCTAAAGAGTCTTGGCAGTGGACTGGAGAGCAGAGGGAGAAGGAAAAGCTGTCTATTTTGCTGTTGCCTTGGTCTATGTGATATATTCAGTATGATTCATAGAAGCCATTGATGAGCACTCTAAAGACTTGCCTCTATTGTTGTTGTTGTTATGTGCCATCGAGTTGGACCCGACTCATAGCAGCCCCTCCTTGGGTTTCTGAGGCAGTATCACTATGGAAGTAGATTGCCCATTAGGCATACACAAATCTGAAGAGCAAGAGCACATCTTATGAGGTGTTGAGAAGAGATTAGTGCCTATTGTAGGTATACCTGCCTTGATCAACCAGATTGAGGTTTTTGAAAAATTCCCACCCCACCCATGACCATGTATACGGATGGCAAATGATATTTCTACATATGTGTTTGTATGTGCTGTAAGAATGTCCAAATATATAATAGAGCTGACAAGGGGCAAAGTTATGATAACTTCTTAGCCACAGCCAGCCACCCTGAGGGGGTGAGTAGTTGGACTTGTGGGCTTGGGACCATAGTTGCACAGGACATCAAGCTCAATTGCCATAGCATACTACACAAAAATATTGTTCTATATCCTACTTTGGTAAGTAACAACTGGGGTCTTAAAAGCTTGCAGGTGGCCATCTATATGTAACAATGGGTCTCCCTTCATCCAGAGCAAAGAATAATGAAGGAAACCAAAGACACATGGAAAAAATTAGTCCAAGGGACTAGTACACCATGCGATCCTCGGCCTATATGACCGTGAGACCAGAAGAAATAGATGGTGCCCGACTACCACTGTCAACCACTTGGAGGGGGATCAGTGCAGAAGATCCTGGATAGAGTGGGAGAACAATGTGGAACAAAACTCAAAATGATGAAAAAGAGTTCCGGTAAGATGGCGGAATAGGCAGAAAGACTGCAGAGACGCTCTTCAACAAAGAAAAGGGGAACCAATTAACACAGATACAGAAGATAATCCTGGACCCCTGAGCCTTGAAGAGAAGGATATAGAAGTGGACTACCCACCAGCCACTCCCCGGAAGGAAGATGGGGCAATCTACTTCCGTAGTGATACTGCCTTGGAAACCCAAGGAGGGGTCGCTATGAGTCGGGGCTGACTCGACGGCACATAACAACAACAACAACAACAACAAACTCCAACTAGCAGAAGAATTTGCATGAAAACGCCAAAAAAGGAGACATATGGAGCTGCAGTTTGGCAGTGATCCTGACAGCACAGACAGCTTGGATATTGCCAAGTGGTGGTAGGACCTAAGAATTAACCTAAAAATCAGTGCCACTAGCCAAGGATTGTACAGAGGACTGCTCTGGTGGCTGGGGAATAAAAGGGTAAGCAGTGAAGAGGAAGGTGGGCTGAGCTGTGGACTTTTGTCTGTCTGGAGGGTGCAGCCATTTTGAATGTTTACAAGTGGCTTGACCATTTTGGATATTTAAAGTGACAGCATTCTCCCAGATTTCAGGGACTTAAGAACAGGCTCCACTTGCCAGGAATCCCAAGGTTCCAGACTTGGACTACTGGAAAGGTATGACATTCCCCTTGTTACTCTTATACCCTGCATCCTCTTGGTGAATGGAGGTGCGGCCATCCCTCACTCCCACCCACTTTCTGGGCTGCCAGGAATTCCACCCCAGTCTGTGAGCTTGGAGAGAGCCTGGGTGCCCCGCCCCTCCCTGCCCCAATTTTTCTTTTCTTTTTTTTGTTTGTTTGTTTTTGTCTGTTCTAAAACTACTGTTATTATTATTATTTTTGTCCTTTTTATTATTATTCTTTATTCTTCCCCTCCCAGGTCATAAAAAAATTACCAACAAAAAAAAGTCCTGGTGCAGATGTTTTCACTGGAGAATTCTACCAAACATTCAGAGAAGAACTGACACCATTCCTGCTCTAACTATTCCAAAACATAGAAAAGGATAGAATCCTCCCTAACTTATTTTATGAAGCAAGCATAACCTTGATACCAAAACCAGGCAAAGATATCACTCAAAAGGGAAACTACAGACCAATATTCATCATGAATATAGATGCAAAAATCTTCAACAAAATCCTAGCCAATAGACTCCAACAACATATCAAGAAAATCGTTCATTATGACCAAGTGGGGTTCATATCAGGTATGCAAGGTTGGTTCAACATTAGAAAAACAATCAACACCATCCACCACATAAAGTGGGTTTGAACAGCCAGCCTTCTGGTTAGCAGTCAGATGCCTTAGACAGTATGCCACTGATGTCAGATGGATCTTAATTAAAAGCAAAGAATACCAGAAAGATGTTTACCTGTGTTTTATTGACTATGCAAAGACATTTGACTGTGTGGATCATAAAAAAATTATGGATAACATTGGGAAGAATGGGAATTCCAGAACACTTGGTTGTTGTGTTCATAAGGAACCTATACATACACCAAGAGGGGGCAGTTGTTTGAACAGAACAAGAGGATATTGCCTGGTTTAAAATCAGAAGGGACGTGTGTCAGGGTTGTATTCTTTCACCATATTTATTCAATCTGTATGCTGAGCAAATAGCCCAAGAAGTTGGACTATATGAAGAAAAACATAGCATCATGATTGGAAAAGACTCATTAACAACCTGTAATATGCAGATGACACAACCTTGCTTGCTGAAAATGAAGAGGACTTAAAGCACTTACTGATGAAGATCAAAGACTACAGTCTATAGTATGGATTACACCTCAACATAAAGAAACAAAAATCCTCACAAGTGGACCAATAAGCAACATCCTGATAAATGGAGAAAAGATTGAAGTCTTCAAAGATTTCATTTTACTTGGGTCCACAGTCAACATCAATGGAAGCAGAGGTCAAGAAATCAGATGTTGTACTGCCCTGGGCAAATCTGCTGCAAAAGACCTCTTCAAAGTGCTGAAGAGCAAAGCTGTCACTATGCAGACTAAGATGTGCCTAACCTAAGCCATGGTATTTTTGATCTCATATACGTGTGAAAGCTGGGCAATGAATAAGGAAGACTGGAGAAGAATTGATGCCTTTGAATTGTGTTGGCGAAGAATTCTGAAAATACCATGGACTTCCAGCACACACACACACACACACACACACACACTGCCATCGAGTCGGATCTGACACATAACAACCCCTCCTTGGGTTTCAGAGGTGGTATCACTCTGGAAGTAGATTGCCCAACCTTCCTTCTGAGGAGTGGCTGGTGGGTTTGAACCTCTAGCCTTCTGGTTAGCAGTCTAATGCCTTAGGCAATCTGTCCAGGAAGAAGTGCAGCCAGAATGCTCCTTGGAAGCAAGAATGGTTAGACTTTGTCTTGCCTACTTTGGTCATGTTGTCAAAAGGGACCATTCCCTGGAGAAGGATATCATACTTGGTAAAGTGGAGGGTCAGTGAAAAGGGGGAAGGCCCTTAATGAGATGGATTGACACAGGCTGCAGTGATGGACTCAGGTATGGCAAGGATAGTGAGGCTGGCACAGGACTGGGCAGTGTTTCATTCTGTTGTACACAGGGTCACTATGAGTCAGAGCCGACTCAGTGGCAGCCAACAACAACAACAACAACAACAATACATGGTGCGGATTGAAGAACTTCGTAAGGCTATCCACTAACCAAAAGTTTCTCAATTTCTATATCAATATATTGATCTTCTCATCCCTCAGTATAGCCACATACGGCCTGGAGTACATAGAAATCCTTGAATTATTTGCCTACCGACACAAACAGTTTCATCTGAGTATACCAATGATACAAAGATCATTTGTTATGTGTGTCCTTGTGTGGAAAGGCTAGAAAGCACTATATTTTCCTATCAAGTCTAAAATTCTGAGTTTTAGATACAAGAATGCATTAAGTAGCAAAGACAAGGACATTTTCTTAGAAAGTTCCCAGTGCAGATTTTTTTATGAGAAGTAGTATTTGTTCCTCTCCCAGTAGCTGTTAGATGTGGTCATCAGCTCAGCCAGAAGGCATAGAGAGCTAAGTATAGCTGTGGAGATGGAATGTAAGTGGAGGGGGAGACGCTGGTGAATCGCTCTGGGTGGTTCTAGTTCAGGGGTGCCACTGATAGGAATGACTGAAGGAAATAAAATTTTTAAAAATCAGGTCATATTTCACTTGCGACTACTGTATACTTTGTGTACATGTTGAAAAAAGTACAATCACTCCACAAATTTACATTCTAAAACTAGTCTCAATAATATTCTCATGTTTGATTTATATTTATTTGGTCATATAGTCAAAACTTTTGTTCTTTATAGAATACCTAGCCAATAATGTAGGAGGTCTGGTAGTATAGTGTCTAAGGCACTTGACTGCTAACCAGAAGACTGGCAGTTCAATCCACCAGCCACTCCTCGGAAGGAAGGTTGGGCAATCTACTCCGTAGTGATACTGCCTGGCAACCCAAGGAGGGGTCGCTATGAGTTGGGTCTGACTCGACGGCACATAACAACACAACAACAAATCAATAATGTATAAGAATGGTTTTTCTCTGTGGTTATAGCAGAAGTACAAGCTTCAAAAGTGGGACAAGCAGGGAAGATATTAAGAAAGCCAGTGTTCAACAGATCTATAAATTGTAAATATTATGCAGAACCTTGGACCCCTTCCTAATGATGTTGTACTTATTATGAAACTTCACTATTATAATGAGGGTGGGTGGAGACCTCTAATCAACTTCTTTCCTAAGTGCTGAACTAATATTTTATGTAGATAAAAGAGTTTTGTAGGCATTTGGAAGAGACATATGTTGCTACTAATGAAAGATTTATCTCAGTTATTCTATTTTAAATCACATTCTTTGATGACATGCTGACCTTTTCATTTTGCAGTAATCTCACATAATTACCAGCCTCCTGGATTTCAAGAAGGGGTAAATTCACACTTCCTGTTGTTTGACCAAGAGCCTGTCAGCCTGGAAGTGGGACTGGTCTCCTCTGGCTTCCACAGCATGAATGTAAAAGTCACAACTGAGGCCACCGGAGTGTCTGATTTGGAGAACAATCTCTATCAGGAGGACAACTCTACCAAGATGGCCCCTCAAGGTCTAGACATGATGATGATGAGGAGGAGGAGGAGGAGGAGGAACGCAACAATCAGACAATAAGGCAAAGCTTATTCATCCTCTGGTGTTTCAGTTCAACATGATTGACATTTTTCAGTTCCTACTCTAGTCATGTCACAGTAACAGGGTCCAGTGGAGTGTGCCAGGCTCAAAAACTGAAACAAAACTAGCCCCTGATATCAGGGAGTTTTAGTTTAAAAAAGTACCATTTTCAAGAAGAAGATAACTTTGTTAAATGAAATTGTCTATTCCTAGGAGGAAAAAAAAAAAAAACTTTCCAATATACTTGTTTTGTTAAAGGTACTCATAAGTTTAGAAAATTTGTGGGCTTTCTTTCTTTTATAAATAACACATTTTCAATTTTTTGTTGTAGTAAAATATACATAACTTAAAATTAGCATTTTAATCATGTTTGAGTATACAATTTGGTGGCATTAAGAACATTCACAGTGTTGTGTAACCATAAATACCACCTATTTCCAGATCTTTTTATCATCTTAAACAGAAACTTTATACCCATTAAGCAACAGCTTCCCATTGCCTCCTCGCCTCAGCCCCTGGTAACCTCCATTCTACTTTCTGTCTCAATGAATTTTCCCATTCTAGGTACCTCATAAGGAGCTCTGGTGGCACAGTGGTTAAAGCATTAACCCAAAGGTTAACAGTTCTAACCAAAAAGTCAGCAGTTCAAACCCACCAGCTGCTCTGCAAGAGAAAGATGAGGCAGACGGTACATCTTCTGTAGAGACATACAGCCTTGGAAACGCTATGGGGCAGCTCTCCTCTGTTCTGTGGGGTCGCTGTCAGTCAGAATGATCTTACTCAATAGCCAGGGGTTTAGTTTTGGGTTTGTGGAACTACCTCACACAAGTGCAATCATGCAACATTTGTTCTTTTGCGTCTGGCTTATTTCACTTAGCATAATGTTTTCAGGGTTCATCTATGTTGTAGCATGAGGGTTTTTTTTTTTTTAATCATGAAAGGGTATTGGATTTTGTCAAATGCTTTTCTGCATCAATTGAGATGGTCATGTGGTTATTTCCCTTTTATTAATGTGGTGCATTACATTGATTGATTTCGTATGTTGAACCATCTTGCGTTTCTGAAACAAACCCCACTTGGTTATGGTGTATGGCATAATCCTTTTAGTAAATTACTGAATTCAATTGTTAGTTGTGGTAGTTAAGGTCATATGTCACCTTGGCTGGGCCGGGTTGAGTGGCTGGGCAGCTGGTTGTAGTTATTCCCCAGGGTGAGACTGGTGATTAACTTCATGGCAGAATCTACTAGACCAGCTGAGTAGCTGCTTAAGGGTTATGGGTTGCTTCTGTTATATAAGGAGCAATTTTGAGGAAGGTCTCTAGCTTTTAGCGTTCTTGGACCCTGCGTGTAGCCAAGTCATTGTTTAGCAGCTTGCCATGCCCTGCTGATCCTGGGATTTCTGGATTTGAATTAGTGGAATGCTGTGTTTGGTAACATTGGGACTGTGCCTTTGTACTTGTTGACCTTGGGTTTGTCAGTCTCAGTACCCATCAGTTGCCTGAGTGAAGAAAATCCTCCAGCTTCAGTGGGCTGGGAGCAGGAGGCAGAGCTGAAACTCAAGATTGAGGGGCTTTCACCCAGCCCCTAGAGCCTGGCACTTTGAACTCAGACTTAAAGCCTCCCAAATGTTAAGAGAATAAACTCCTGTTTGTTATAGCCATCCCATTGGCGGCATATTCCTGTCAGAGTGATAACCAGAATGTTACTATTTTGTTGAGGATTTTTGCATCTATATTCATATTCAATAGTATATTCTTACTATTGGCCTGTAGTTTTCTTTTCTTTCTTTTTCATGTTTTTGTCTGGCTTTGGCATCATGGTAATAATGCAGTGAGTTGCATCATATGCAATTCATGCAGTGCAGTGAATTGCTTAATATAGCCTTTCTAGCCATAGTCCTCCATTTTGTGATGTATTGTGAATCCTAGACTCTGTTATGGTTCCATTTTGGGGTGAGTTGTCTGTTGCGTTGATAAGGCAGGATTAGAGTAGGATGTATCTTGAGTCCTGCCTTGCTGGGGGGTAGGCTCAAGTCATCACCCTTAATTTGCTTGAGGGTATATATGTGAATGTTCTGGTAAAATTCACTCTCTTGCTCTGAATCATGCATCTGGTTCCTCATGATCTCATCCCCAAATTTTGGGACTTGAGACAGCAGCCAGTCTTCTAACCTGCTGATTTGGGTTTATCACCCCCCTGCAACCATGTGAGTGAGGAGAATCCTCCAGACTGATGCCTGACCCAGGGATTTGAGACTTGCCAGCCTCCACCACCACAGGAGCCATTTCCTTGGCAGTTTTTGAGTTCTGTAAGATGTTACAGTGAAATATGGAACCCTAAGACAAGAGGGAGAGTACTGAGGGTAGGAGGAGAAGTTGATGTTAAGAGATGACGGAGTGATACAGCAGTTTGGAAAAGTTGGATATTTGGGACATGTTTAATCTTTGCTGCATAGGGACTAGCCTTGTGCTGATCCTTCTAAAAGAAATTATTTAAGCACCTTATAACATAAGTTAGGAAGTGTTCCTTTTCTACTTTTTTGAAGACTTTGAGAAATATTGGTATTAATTCTGCTTTAAATTCACCAGCCAGCATCTCTAGGAATATGACAGCCTTCCCACTACCATGGAGGAGCAGAGGAATGGGGGATGGGAGCCGATTAGTGCAGGTGGCTCACCTAGGAGAGATCATCTGCCCATCCTTTCATAAAACACTCCCCTGGTTAATGTAAGCATCCAGTTAGCTTCCAGAATTCCAAAGCACTTGATTTCAATTGCACTTCCCAGTTCAATTGTTGTTTTAGTGAAGGGACTGACCTCTAGAGCTTCCTACTCTACCATCTTGTGTGACATCACCTTTCTTTGATCCATTTTGAGTTGATTTTTGCATTAGGTGTAAAGTACGGGTCCAACTTCATTCTTATGCATGTGGATATCCTGTTTTCTCTATACCATTTGTTGAAAAGACTATCCTTTCCCCACTGAATCATGTTGGAACTCTTGTTAAAAATCAACTGGCTGTGTATGTGAGGGTTTATTCCCAGACTCTCTATTGTATTCCATTGGTCTATTTGTCTACCCTTATACCAGTACCGTACTGTTTTGATTATTGTAGCTTTCTAATAAATTTACAAATTGAAAAGTCTGAGTCCTCCAACTTTGGAGTTATATTTTTAGTATTTAAAAATACACTCTAGTTGTATATTTATACTCACTGAAAGTATAAATGAATTCTTGAGTATTGAGGTAATTGGGTGGAGAGGATTGGGAGATAAAAGGGTTATGGATTAACCAACCAGAGTGAGATAAAAATGATAGTCAACTCTTGTTATGTGGAGAGAGAGGAGCTTGGAGGATAAGTTACTGGGGAAAGCCAGGACTAGACATGGTTGGAGCCAATGGAGCCAAACATGCAGGATTTTGAGCCCTTTCCTTTCCTACTTCCTACAATGGAGACATGGAATTGAGTGCATCAGGGCCTCACTGTACCTCAGGTAAATTCAGACCCTTAGCTGACTATTGTCTGGAAAATAATATTTACTGTATAGCAACATTATACTAAAAGGGTTCTGAGTTAGACAAAAAGAATTTTTAGATTCTTCTGCTTACTGGGAAGGGATGCTACAAAATCTCAGGAGATATTTTAATGTTAAAATAATAACTTACTTGTTTGAGATAGTTTGAGTTCTACTTAAAGATAGATGAATACACTAGGTAACTTCTGAAAGTTTCTTCTAGTTCTTTAACACTGTGTTATGTTTAATACATTGAAAAGAGATCCTCGTCTTAATTCAATTAATATAAATTTTGTAAGCAAACAAACAACATTTAGAAAAAAATTTAGTGTTTTGCAATGTCAGACATGATAATGGCTTTGGTACAACTTTCTTCTGATTACACTCAAGGAAGGTATATCGCTAACACAGAAAGGTGAAATTAAGAAAAGAATGAGTATGTTCCAACTAGAATTTTATCTTTTCAAAATTTAAGAATTTCTTTCTCTTTTACCAACTGAAAAGAAAGCAGCATTATCTGAGAAGGGACAGTTCGGTTGATAAATTACCGTATTTTTCACATAAACACCCATGTCAATAGCAAGCACATACATATAACATGAATAGTGTGCATAGGAAACTAACACATGAGGGGGTTGTGTAGTTTGCAAAAAAAAGTGCATAATGCATGTGGTATTTACATAAAAATGTGTTAAGACATATGATAGCATTTCCAAGCATATATTTAGTAAAGTGAAGAGAACTTGATGCACTTACTGATGGAGATCAAAGACTACAGCCTTCAGTATGGCTTACACCTCAACATAAAGTACAACAAAAATCTTCACAACTGGACCAATAAGCAACATCATGAGAAGTGAAGAAAAAAACTGAAGGATGTAATTTTATTTGTACCTATAATTAACACCAGTGGAAGCAGCAGTGAAGAAATCAAATGATGTAGTACACTGAGCAAAACTACTGCAAAAAACCTCTTGGAAATGTTAAAGAACAAAGATGCTACCTTGAAGACTAAGGTGCCCCGACCCAAGCCGTGGTATGGTGGTATAGTGCCTAAGGCAGTTTGATTGTTAACCAGAAGGTTGGCAGTTCAAACCCACCAGCCACTCTGTGGAAAGAAGACTGGGCAATCTACTTCCATAAATATTTACCACCTCAGAAACCCAAAGGGCCGCTATGAGTTGAAATCGACTCGATGGCAGTGAGTTTGTTTTTTTTTTGAGTTTTCATATGCATGCACAAGTTGCACAAGGAATGATGAAGACTGGAGAAGAATTGATGCATTTGAATTGAGGTGAACATTGTTGGGGAAGAACATTGAATATACCATGGACTTCCAGAAGAATGAACAAATCTGTCTTGGAAGAAGTACAGCTAGAATACTACTTAGAAGCAAAGATGGTAAGATGTCATCTCATGTAATTTGCACATG